CCATAGGTCTGCTTGTCTTGGGGGTGTAACCATCATTGTGAAACTCTCTCCTCGTGGGCTCTTCAGCAAACTACTTTGCCTCCAAATCGTCCTCTGCATCGTTGAACTACCCTTCATAGGCTAGTTACGTTTGCCAGATCTCGCACTCGTCACTCTTTGTGAACCTCAATCGCTAGTCATAAGCTACTTAACCTATTGGGATACTCCATGCCTCCAATGCCGCTTCCAACGATTGTCCTGTGACGGGGAAGTGTGAAGCCTCGAGTGGCAAAGTTCTGTTAGCGCAAAGCCCTGTAGCATTGAGCTACCGTCCCTTCCCCTTTCAATCTCATTTTCAATCTCTCTACCGTTGTCACTTGTTGTTGTCAATATAGCCGCCAATGTGAGTGCCACTCCCCATCCGGTCGCCATGCAACACAAGATAGCGACAAGTGATGGCCAAAAATGCCTTTCATATCAACCAATTCATTACACATCCACACATGTACAAGTCTCAACAACACACACCCTCCCCTCCGTGTTTCGACCAGGTGCAGACTTGGTCCTCATCAAGGGGCTTCCACAAGCCAGCCTTGAAGAACCACTTAACTTTTTGCCAACTAAGGTACTGGATCGTCGGTTGTACCCTCTCACATACTACACTTATGCCCATAGCCGCTCTACCCTGGAGCAAGCTACTATTGTTCTACTATGACCTCAGTTTTGAACTGTGCAGTAATTCACATCCATTCCCATCAGTCACTTATGCATCGGTTGCATGCACAATTCCTGTTGAAATTTGAAACTGCCATGTAACAAACTCTACATTTCCCCCCCCTTCACTACCTTGTTCAAATTCGCAACTAACCAGTAGAATACGGTCGAAAATTGTTCCCTAATTTCCTAGGTCTGCACCGTGGAATTCCTACGACTACATGTCTAAGCATTGTAAATCCCATCTGACGGCCAATAGGTACGTTCTAGTCTGCAAAAACTCTTGTACTCTTGTACTATAATGCAACGCTGGACCTGGTGTCCAGCAGGTGCAACTCCCCACTAACAGATGGAGCCTCTTAACACAGGGGTCGACTGAAGGGAGATGCTCTTATCATCCCGTTAAGAGATAGGAAGAGGAGGAAAAAAGATGAAGAACAAGAAACAAGAGGAGGAATTGAAAGAAGAAGCAAAAGAAGATGGGAGGAGGAAACAAGCTTTGCTCATGTACACCTAAAAAGGAGAAAGAGGACAGCGGAGAAAAGAAAGGAAAATCACATGAAGATCGAAAACGAAGGAGGAGGATGGAAAGACAAAGAAGACACTAGGCAAATGGTCTCATCCACACATGCGATGTCGAAGTGGAAGTAATAGTCGTAGCAGCAGTACCAAAAAGAATTGTGATAATTTTGAAGACGAGGAAGAACAATAGTGATAAGCAGGGGCCAATCATTATATTTCGCGCATGCTTTCACAAAAATCCAATTGTCTCTGCATACTTTGAGCTCAGATGAAACACAAACATTGCTCGACAGGAAGCGCACCCAGCACTTCTCAGGGGCCTTCTCCCCAGATCCGCCTTGCGGCACCACCTCATTGTCCAACCAACTCAGTCAACGAGGGTTGACATTGTTGCCCTCTCCTATATGCTTGTCACTATCACTGGCCGCACCGTGTGGTGTCGATGTCCCACTAGATAGGTGCTTACGTGTTGCCAACGTAGCTCTACTGGTTAGAAAGAATGGCGCCGACACCACCCCACCCTGGGGTGGATGGGAAAGATGAACGCTTTGCGGCGGTTGTGTCACTAGAGGCCACGAAGTGGGAGAAAGTGGTTAATGAAGATTTAAAGCGTCATTTAGGTAAATACATATTAGAATAGTAAAAACATAAGCTTGTAATACAGCAACACCTAACTCTAAACCAGTTAATGCGAAAACAATGAGAAAAGGTGCAAGATGAGCTAAATACATGATACCTCCCATAGACAACATAGTCCAAGCAAAACCACTCAAAATCTTCACTAAACTATCGCCAGTGTAGCTCTACTGGTTAGAATTTGAATATTTGCGTGCACCTAGCACTATATGCTCGGGCCATAGAATTACCGGAAGTATCAGTGTGGATTACCTATCACGCGGAAGGGTGCTAGCCATCGGCTGATGACTAGGACTTTCCATGGAACCGAAAGTCGAAGAAGAACGTATAACGAACTGGAAGAAAAAAAGTGTGGAATGCGTGCGCCGTGTGGAAATCAGACAATCCGTATTTAGTGCAACTTTTAAGCCATATACAGGTGTAATGACCGGGCATTGTGTTCAGGGCAAGAAGGGAGGACAAGGGAGGAAGACGAAGAGATAAATAGACATGTGGACAGTGCAGGGCGCACCCATGGTGTCACGTGGCAGCCATGTCAGCCTCGGATTCGAGGAGGTGAAATAATAAGTTGCAAAGCACCACCACCTGATAAATAGCCAGGTGGGCAGTGTAGGGCGCATCCACAGCGACACGTGGCATCCATGTCAGCATCGGATTCGAGGCAGTGAAATAAGTTGCACTGCACCAGCACCAACACCAGTACCAGAAGAAGAAGAAGAAGAAGAAGAAGAAGAAGAAGAAGAAGAAGAAGAAGAAGAAGAAGAATAGTGAAAGCAGTGATCATAGACTGCTTCTCGTACAAGCATCGATAAATATGCATTACTTCTCGGCATGTACAGTTCTCAGTATGAAACGCAGGGGGCTTCTCCCAAGATAGCCTTTCAGCACCACCAAACTTAACGACCATCTGAGAATGGAGGGCCATTGGCCTTGCCCTCTGCCTTCTACTAGGCGCCTATCTACCTGCTAAGAAGAAGAAGAATAGTGAACACAGGGGCAAACTGTGTTGTGAACACGTTTCTTAACAATATCAAATACAAGTCTGCTGATACATCTCCCAGCAACAGGCACATTTCCTGTATCGCATTTCAATCAGTTGCGCTCCGTTCATCCTCAAGAAGAAGAAGAAGAAGAAGAAGAAGAAGAAGAAGAAGAAGAAGAATAGTGAAAACAGTGACCTTAGACTATTTCTCGCACATGCATCCACAGATAAGCATCACATCCACATGAACAGTCCTCAGTCAAAAACTGCACCGTTCCCTTCTGCGTGTTTCAGCCAGGCTGCACTGGCAGCACTCCTTTGGGGGCTTCACCCCAAATTGGTGAAACATAATAATGATATCATAACCATATAAGAAGATGACATGAGTTTTACTGTCATGGCGCTATCCACTTCCTCGCGGCATCCTACAAAAGGCCAAGATACTTCTGAACCTGGTCTCCAACGGAAAACAGTATAAAGCCGCGTAGCCAAGTGTCCTCTAAGGGCACCTGTCTGCTTTCTGACCAAATGCTCACAGATTCCGGTCTCTTGTTCTCTTCTATTTTTTTTCTTGTCCCACTCTCTTTTTATCTTTTAAATTCTTTTACAAAAAAGGGCAATGCCTTCGAGATATGATCATCCAACTGACTGGCCGCAGGTAGAGTTATTTCGTACACCTGATGGCACCAGGATTCGAGTTGTGGTCTGTTTAACAATATAGCAGTTGATTTTGGTGTACCGTCCCATTCAGATGGGCTGTGTTTTTTTTTTTTTCCTTAGGGAGAGGTAGCCATGCTTGCAGGGGGGGTTCCCTGTATAGGCTTAGGTGTGGTGGTGGGTAGGTAGTACAGGCGAATTTGAGGAGAAGTATGTAGCATAGTTTCAAAAAAGTAATTCTAAAAAAAAGGGAGAAGATCAGCCACGTGGCGGAAGAAGCAGTCATGAGAACGAAGGGTCTCGACCAGCCGTGCGGCCGACACACTCGACCAGCCGTGCAGCCGACACATCAGGTCCTGAGGAAGACGAGAGGAAGCCATGTTGAATCGAAGGGTGATGTCGTGCCACGTGGCAGGGTCATCCGTATAGTGCTAGGAAGCGTAAGGAGGAGGAAGAAGAAGAAGCCGATGATATATAATTAATTAAAAAAAAAAAGAAAAAGAAGAACAAGAGAGTGACCACCATTCACAGACGGGAGGCACAGGCTACGTTGTTTTTCTTATTTAAAGAAAAAGAAGGACGAGGTGACGCCGAGTATGAAAGCTACGTACAAAAGCCGGGGCAAGAGGATCTCGTTGTGCCACGTGGACAGCATCCCGTTTTTCCACGTGGCACAACGTGGAAAGTATGTTGGCACTGGCAGGGGGGAAGGGGAGATGTGGAAGCACCAGAAGAAAGCAGGGAGAAAGAAGGCTCATCATCATCATCATCATTCCGGAATGTATTTCAAAAAAAAAAAAAAAAAAAAAAAAAAAAAAAAAAAAAAGAATTAAGTCGGGACGAAGAAATGCAACAGGACGAAGAGAAGACCATGTACAGGTGTCCGTATGGTCATGCCAGTTGGCAACCAGGTCCAGAAAATAGAAAATGGAGGACAAAAGGTTGGGCGGGCTGGGAAGGGGAGGGGAGGGGAGGGGAGGGGAGGGGATTTTCTCTTCCCCTTGCCACGTGGCACGTGGGAAGGATTGACTAAGTAAAAACTTTCTGTTTAAGGGAAAAGACAGAGCGGTTAGGACGTGGGCGGTCGATGAAGAAGAAGTAAAAGGCGGTCGATGAAGAAGAAGTAAAAGCCCTAACGGGCCTAAACTCAGTAAACAATAATAATAATAAAAAAATAAAAATAAAAAAATCAGTAAACATTCTATTTAAGGAAAAAGACAGCGAGAAGGTGGAAAAAGGAAAAACTTCAAAAAAGAGGACAATGATGATTACGAAGACAATTAGAAAGAACATTGAAATCAACGAAAAAGATGCTCAAGAGCGATAAACAAAAGCGCAAAGACAAAAGATGTGGAGAAAGGCGCAGAGACAAAAGAAGGGGAAGGAAGGATTGACTCGTCTACTCCCTCCGGAACTTTTTGTTGCTGGTCTGCGATTGGATTGAATCTGGCCGCCGGAACGTGCTGTATACATCGCGGAGGGTTTAAGTTTTCTGTAATGTGCGACAACCAGCGCGTCCTCCGTTTCATTAATTTCCTATTTTCTTCACTATTTTATTATTCCTTCTTCATGCTCCTCCTCCTCCTCCTTACTCCTCCTCCTCCTCCTCGCCGTCTTCCTCCTTCTCCTTCTCCGTCGTCTTTCTCCTCCTGCTCCTTCTCTCGCCCTCTTTGTCCTCCTCCTCAGCCTCCTCCTCCTCCTGCTCCTTCTCTCTCCCTCTTTGTCCTCCTCCTGAGCCTCCTCCTCCTCCTCCTTGTCGTCTTCCTCTTCTCCTTCTTCGTCCGCCTCGTCTTCGTCTTCCTCCTCCTTTCCCCTGCTCCTTCGTTTGTCCCGCCCTCCTTGTCCTCCTCCTCCTCGCTCTCCCTCGTTTCTTTTGTCTCGCCTTCTTTCGCTCTCCTCCTCCTCCTCCTCCTCCTCCTTCGTCTTTCCCACGCTCCTTGTCCTCCTCCTCCTCGCTCTCCCTCGTTTCGTTTGTCTCGCCTTCTTTCGCTCTCCTCCNTCCTCCTCCTCTTCCTCCTCCTCCTCCTTCGTCTTTCCCACGCTCCTTGTCCTCCTCCTCCTCGCTCTCCCTCGTTTCGTTTGTCTCGCCTTCTTGCGCTCTCCTCCTCCTCCTCCTTCGTCGTCTTCTTCTTCTTCTTCCCGCGCTCCTCGTCCCTGTCCTTCTCCACCGCCATCCTCCGACTCCCATCTTTCTGTTATACCTCTCTCTGTTCTTCGTCTCTCTCTCTCTCTTTCTCACCCCAACAACCATATATTCAGATCTCGACATGCGTCCCACGTCACACGACAAAACCCTCTCTCTCTCCTCCACATTTTTTCCCCTTCTTCTTCTTCTTCCTCTTCTCCTTCTTAAGACTTGAGCAAATGTATACACGCTGTTTCTAGTTGAGACTATTTTGCGTGTACGAGAGCAACTTGGCCATTGCTTGTCACTATTCTTCCTCTTCTTCCTCTGCTTCTTCTTCATCATCTTCTGCTTCTTCTTGTACCCTCTTCTTATATACTACTATCCTTCTTCTTCTTCTTTCTTTCGTTTCTTCTTTCTTCTTTCTTTCGTTTCTTCTTTCTTCTTTCTTCCTTCTTCTTCTTCTTCTTCTTCTTCTTCTTCTTCTTCTTCTTCTTTTGTTTCTCGAAGCGTCGGCCCGGACCCCGACCACTTGTCGTCTGGTCGGTAAAGCTCCCCACCCAACGTAACTGCTTTTTTTTGTCTTCTTCTCTCAACGACGTATCCCGACCTGGCTGCCACGTGGCATGACCACACCCACGTCTCGACGGCACATGTTCTTCGTCTTCCTGTTGCTTTTTTTTTTTCCTTATCGCCACGTGGAATGACGAGGTTTCTCTCGCTGAATGAATCTGAGTCATCTTTTCGTCCGGAAACATTCAGAATGCCGCTTTCTTCTTTCCCCTTCTTCTTCTTCTTCTTCTTCTTCTTCTTCTTCTCTCCTAAACGAATCTGGTCTGAACCAATCATTCTGTCATCAGTCTCAAAGAGAATTAATTCTATCCCCCTTCACACACAAGCAGTTGATTCGTACGTGCCTGAAGGGATCATTGTGTGTGTGTGTGTGTGTGTGTGTGTGTGTGTGTGTGTGTGTGTGTGTGTGTGTGTCTTTTTGATGGGGATTGTGTGTGTTTCCCCTTGTATGCGCGTGCGTCGGCATCATGTGGCTTTGTCATTTTTGATTGATACCCCTATTCTTTTCTTTTCTTTTCTTTTCTTTTCTTTTCTTTTTCTTTTCTTCTTGTACTTCCGTTCCGTTCACATGATGACTGGATCTGGATCCGAACTTGGGTCAAATTCGCAAATTGGAACAAGGTAGTGAAGGTCAGAAATGAAATTCAACAAGCTCGAAGATGGGAAGATAACACCACAAGGCGGATCTGTGTGTGAAGCCCCCTGAGGAGTGGGGTGCCAGGAGCGCAGCCTGCTTATTAGCCGAAACGCGTCGGGTGGGATTTGCGCTTTTTCAACCGAGAACTGTACATGCGGGCGGAGACGTATTGAAATATTTTGTCGATGCCTGTGCGAGAAGCAGTCTATGGCCAATGTTTTTAACTCTTCTTCTTCTTCTTCTTCTTCTTCTTCTTCTTCTTCACGTAAGAGAATTTACACAATCCGCCGCAGCGTCTGTGCGACAGACCGGTCGTAGCCGTAGTAGCTCGTGGAAGTGGCCGTTGGGGATTAGAGAATACGGTGCTGGCTACAGTCTTCCCCCGAATACAACGTACGGTCATTATGGCTGAATTTAGACTGAAAGATAGACCAAATTCAGCTATAATGACTGTACGTTGTATTCGGGGGAAGACTGTAGGCTCACAACTCGTTGTACAGTATATAGGGAGGGCAAGGACGTATAGGCCCTCGATACTCAGAAGGTTGGGAGGATGGTCGGCGGGCCGCAAGGCAGGGTCATGTGGGAAGAGCCCCCTGAGGGAGGATGATCGGAGCGCAACCGATCGAAACGCGTCGGGGAATGTGCGCGTCAGCTGAGATTAGTACGCGCTGCTATGTATGGAAGAACTATCGAAGCGTGTACGAAAGGCAGTTGGCCCCTGTTTTCACTATTCACTATTCTTCTTCTTCTTCTTCTTCTTCTTCTTCTTCTTCTTCTTCTTCTGCTTCTGCTTCTGCTTCTTCTTCTTTGTGACATCGGTGTCTGGAAGCATGTTGGTTGGTCATTACTTGTCACTATACTTTTTCTCCTCCTCCTCCTCCTCCTCCTCCTCCTCCTTCTGCTCCTTCTTCTTCTCCTTCTTTTCTTCCATTTCTTTGCTTCTTCCTCATGCTGGCCATAACCAAACCCTCCCCTCCCTTCCCTCAACCTCGACCTTCCCACTTTTCGTCTCTTTTCAATGAAACACCTCTTCCTTACGACCTCGTTGCGTTCCTTGATTCCCTCTTCCCCTCGATTCTCCATCACATAACCTCTCTCTCTCTCTCTCTCTCTCTCTCTCTCTCTCTCTCTCTCTCTCTCTCTCTCT